ATCATTATTATTCAAAATAAAAAAAACCGTGCGGTTTTTCGAGAAACAGTTCAAAGTGTTTTTTTGTAATGCTATGATGAACAAATTTTAGCAATAGTTGTCACTTCTCAGAAAATGACCAAAATTTCATGGGCTCATTTGACGTGGCCTGACCCATTACATATTTGGTTATTTGGTTACATGTTCTTTTGTAGGTGGTCCCACATTTGAATTCCATCAGACATAACATCAAATAAATAATGTAAAATTTCGATCCTTATTTTATATGTCCTGAATTCGAAAAAGAATCTTTGAAGTGCAGAAACAAGTGTATTGAAATTATTTTTGTAGGAGGATATTTAAATAGAAAGTTGTAAAGAAAAAAACTCAAGATAACGTCTGCATGACTCCTGCACCACTTTACAACTCGTTTAAAATTAGTTTTGCGGTAGCTAATTAGAAGTTGGTTATTTATCGAAATCCCGCAAAAAAGCTAGCTATAAGTTGGTTATTTTAATCAATTGATAATATTTTTCTGCAGGGTATCGACGCATCTAAACCGTACTATGTTAAGTCTGACTAAGTCTAAGGTGACTTTGCATGGTATAGTTTGGAGGCATCGATATGTAGACATAATTATTGATGGCAATTAAACATGGAAGAGGAGCAGTTAGGAGTGGATGAAGAAAAGTCGAGTAGCATATTGGGTGACAGGTAACAAGATCAACGGAAATATGGTCAACCCTGGTGCGGAATAAAGTCAATTGACATTATTACCTTTTCAAAAGCGAAATAAAGACAACAAAAATTTGGAAATAAAGTCATTGACGCTATTTCCTCATTCAAATGGAAATAGCGTCAACAATGCTTAAAGTATGTTGATTCATAGAAAAAAACATTGTTCTTGCAATAAACATTGCACCGTAAGTGTTGTTTTTTAATAGATGAAAAAGGTTATTGTCAAATCCTCAGTGTGGTGCCTCATGAACTACCACCAATTGATTTTATAAAAAAAATTTAAATTACGAATATAGTAAAAACACGATGCGAAAAACTAAACGCAAAACGCAGCTTGAATACGAGAAATATTTGAAGAAAGAGTGTAGAAATGATCCAGAACTGTAGGAATTTAACTGTTTGGATAAATTCTTGTATAGAAACTATATTCTTAGGTTCGAAATCAATATTAAGTCTGATCCGAAGGCCTTCTGGAACTTCGTCAAGTCGAAAAAAGCGTGTTCCACAATTCCATCATCAGTCGTCTTCAACGGAAAATCTGCATGTTCTCCACATGATGCTGCAAACCTCCTTGCTGATTTTTTTTAAATCCAATTTTATTTCAGATGACGATTTTTCTTTCAATAATCAAACATTGAATCCGAATTCCGCACTCAGTTTTGGTTTGGTTGCACTTACTTCTGATGA